CACGCCAGAACCCCTGCCGATGGCGGCCCCCTTTCTTGCATTAGGGGCGGGGCGCGTAGCCCCGCACTCTTCGTTTTGCGCTCTTCCGAGCACCTTGTCAATATCCTGATAAACATAACCACTGAACCACTTTTTTATTGTACTAAAAAGGGCCTGCCATACGCCCTGTACACGTTAGGCTATACCATAAGCCTCAAGTCGCCACATTTTTGGTGCATCGGCCAAACTATCGCCGTATTTGAGGTTGACCTACTCGACCTTGGGACTCAGCTAGCCCTAAATTACAAACCTTTGTTTGTCACACTTTCCCAACTCAAAAGCAGTTGGAATTTTTTGTATTAGAGCCAAATAATCAAACATGACTCTACCAGCCGCTCTCTGCCGCTACGCGGCAGATTCGGCTGTTACTCGGCAGCTTCGCTGCCTCGTACACCTTTCATTTTAATGTATACCAATGTAAGATCAAATCATTTGATTGCCTGTTCGGACGAATTACTTCTGTCTATGACCTGTTTAGATCGACAGACCGAAGACATAATTTTGTACCTGCAAGTTTATGAATTAACATCATAAGCAACAAATAGTATGCAATTACAACGTAGAATGGCTGCAACAGTGACTACACCAAAAAAGAAGATGCCAACAACAACAACAACGATAAGTACAACAGAAAAGGCCTATGACACAACAACAGCAACAAAGGAGCATTCGTAACAGCAAATCTTAGAGTAGAACTTCACAGGACTTCGGTGAAAACGACGTTGACTAATTTTGATTGGCGACTTGCACAATGAGATCTTCACGCGACCTCGAACGGCTGCGGGCCACATAGAGTTGACCGTGACTGAAGACATCGGTGGGAAGCCACAGTCCAACCTTGCTGGAGTATTAACCTTGGGCCTTGTTGATGCTCATAGCGAGCGCCAATCTGACGGGGAATTGAGAGCGCCGGAGTCTGAAGGGCAGATTCTTGTCGTTGTAGTTGTGGATCCTCGGAATCACGACAGACTGCCCATACCGATTTCCTATTATGAATTTGCATTGTTTGAGACGAGGGCCCATATCGCGGACTTGTAGTCGTGTTCCATTGCATAGCCCGGATGAAACGTCCAAGATCCTAAGCAGCATGACGATGGCGCCCTTTTTCAACTTGAGACAGTGCGGCGGCAAGGAGGAGCTAGAGATTGTGTTTAGAAAGTCGGTAGTATTAAATTGACTCTGGTCGTTAGCGTCGTCGGTGACAATTTCATCGTGCGAAGTAAATCTTTTCTTCACCTTGTATGCGGCTTAGAACTTGTTCGTTTATGGAATTCATGTCGAAGTTTTTGGGGGCAAGGATAGCCTGATCAGAGAAATTAACCAATGGTTCGATGCAATCGCCGTATCCTCCTGGACTATATCTCCTCGACTCATGATTTCCGCTGGCAGTTTCACTCGTCCTTGGCTGTCTTGACGGTGCCGTTGCGCACACGCAATAGAAAGTCCTTTTGATCCGCATCGCGGCTCGTCACTCGCATATTTTCGGAAAGGCGGAGTACTATGAAATGCGGCCAAAGGGACGACTGCTTAATGCACATGCTTAGTTGGTCTGCCGCGATCCGCTGAAAACAACCGGTAAGGCCTAAGGCATTCCTCACGCGATTCGGCCAAATCGCCACTTTCACGCGACTTGGCGATTTGCCAGATATCTACAAATTTATCGTGCGCGCTTCTCGAACGTCTAGGCGGGTAGCTTGTGTAAGTTTTGTGAATGGGTTAAGTTCTGACCAATGGAAAACACATTGATGACGAATTACATGGAGTCGTTGTTGTGCCAAATCGCGCAGCGACAGGATTCGCGCGAGGTATGCCTTAGGCCTAAGATCTGCCGGAAGTCGCCTCCGCAAACGACTATTTTTCCGCCAAAGGCTTGTCCACTTGCATGAAATCGCGTAGTACTGCATTCACCGTCTCAAAAGCCGTTTTTGGGATTATAGAGGCTTCGTCCCAGATGAACACGTCGTTTTCAGCGAGCAGTCTCGCGTCCTTCATCTGCTTTCTGTGGGATGATGTCTCGCAGTTGTTCAAGATATTTAGCTTGAACAACCGCGATTCCTGTCCACGCTGTCCGCGACTTTGCGCCCTTGACCGATGAGGATATCAAAAAGGCATGTATAGGTCCACGTTTTACCTGAAGCGCCGGGACCATCGATGAAGAAAAGCTTTGGAGCGTCTGGATCATCAAGAGCACCAAGAATGGTGTCAACCGCTGCCTTTTGCTATGAATTTAAAGCCCCATATAAGCGATTACCTTCGGCTGAGCAAAATGCAATATCGTACGCGTGAGTCGTGGGACGACGGCCTAACGACAGTGTGGGAATGTTGAATGAAGCAATGTTGATATTGATATGTCTCTTGATAAGTCGCTCCTCAAGATCTCCGCCTTGCGCCACGTGCTCAAGTTCTCTGCGCAATGTGCATTTGCGAACTGGGAGTGGAGGTAGGTAACGGTTCAAACATTACTTGTTGCCGCGAGTCAAGCGTAGAGATCGTTTGTGCTGTGTTCTCGTCGATTGGCTCGTATCCTCGTTGGCCAACCCGTTCTGGGCTCGCACCATGCCTGGATTGATCCAGTGTCTCCTGAAGGTGTCCTTTTAGCTGTGGTGCCTGTTGCCGTCGACGAAGATGACGTTCACGCATTGAGGCAAAACGCCGTTCTCGTTCCTCTGGTGTTTCTCGGCTACGACGAAGGCGGCTACGCATGGCTTCAGAAGTGCGCCTTGCTGCGGTACGGGTTCGGGTTCTCTAGGCGATATGCATCTGCGACTGAGGTGTGGAGGGGGACGGTCCATTGCTGGAGGGGGTCAATGTCGGTGCCATGGTGTGGGAGTAACAGTAGTCGAAGGAGGTACGACCGATGAAGGCATGGTATGAATGAACCGTAAGGCCGGGATAGGGTATTTTGATTTGTTCATATTTGATCTCGTGGATGAACCATTTTGATTTTGTTGATGAGCTAATCAGTCGGCGAAATCCGCTGCGAAAGGTCAACGCATAGTTGGATATCAACTACCTCCAGAATGTTGCATACAAAGAATCAAAAAAGGTAAAAAAGTTTAGTGGTCAAAGTTGTAGATATTCTGTTCAAATCAACTATGTTCAGTTATCCCTTCCTGCCAGTTTTCAGCCCAACAGAGATTAGAACATGAAAAAATCGATAAATCGATAGCGCCGCTAAGTGATTTTCTGTGAAAAAGCTTAGTGACACCCGCCCCACCCCGATATTCATGTGTGCAAAGTTTCGTTTGAATTCAATGAAGTTTTCTGACTTTTTAGGCCGGTCATAACGAACTTGCTAAGCGAAGAACGCAAAAAATCGATAAATCGATAGCGCCAATGGGTGATTTTCGGTGAAAAGCTTAGTGACACCTGCCCTACCCCGAACTTCATGTGTGCAAAGTTTCATTTGAATTCAATGAAGTTTTCTAACCTTTTAGGCCGGTCATAACAAATTTGCTAAGCGAAAAACGCAAAAAATCGATAAATCGATAGCGCCACTCGGTGATTTTCGGTGAAAAAGCTTAGTGACACCCGCCCCACCCCGATTTTCATGTGTGCAAAGTTTCATCTGAATTCTTCGATTCTTTGTGCCGTTTCAGGCCGGTCATAAAAAAATGCTTATCCAAATATTATATAAGTACTAGTTGGCTTTCCCGGTCCAGCCCGGGCCTTGTTCCGTTCACTTGCACTGCAAGCCCCCCCCCCCCCTTATATGTTATGGATGACTTACCCTAGGGACATCCGCTTCAAACCGCATCCTCGTGATAATGAGGTTAAAATGAGCTTCGCCGCCCTCTTTTACAGATTATGGGAAAATGCTTGACTTTACATGATAAGCCTTCAATTCCTTAGAAAAACGTAAACAAATCAATAAATTGATAGAAGGACCAAACGAATCGCCGCAAAAAGTAGCCTATCATCTGCGCAGGGGTCGAAAACATATGCGTGCAAAGTTTCAGCTGAATTGGTTGAGCTGCGCGCATTTCTATAACGCACATACCCTCCAAACTGACAATTTTTGAGTTTTATATATATACCAGTGCGTCACCTCTGCTTCGCAGAGGTTCGCACTGGCTCCACTATCTATGTGCCTTACTCATTCTCGTAAAATCGTGGCACTGGAACTCACCGCGCTATGCCGACTACCACGAATAAAATGTAAACAACCACTCATTTAGAAAGTCTTTTCACATGAGATCGGTGATTTCGAGTGGATGAAACTTTTCGCAGGAAGACAAACGCAAATTTGAATAGGTTTTTGGATTTGTCATGGCCTGGTAGTCGCCATAAAGGTAATGATAACCGTAAGCTACATCTCTGTGCGAAAATCTTTTCAAACGCTTGGCTAGAACCTTGGCAAGTTGACCATTTACACAACCAATTCATTTTGGCGCCGTTTTCGTTATGTAGTAAACTTTCGACCATTTTTCTGGCTAAACTCCATCGCTTGCACATTTGCTTACCAAACTCATTCACGACTCTGCAAAAAGTGGTGATACGGACCGAATTTTGCGGTACAGAAGCCAGGCGAACCCGTTTGGCGCGCAATTTTTAACGGATCCACTCGACGGATTTGCTCGCGCTTTTGTATATTGGACTTTCATGCTGCTAGCATGCGCCGTGCAAAATTTGGGCTCAGGAGGTTGGCTGGAACATGTTCTACGAATTTCGTAACGGACAGACACACAGACACACAAAAAGACGTAAACAACCCTTAGCCCGTTATTATAAGTCATGATAGATTGATATTGATATTTTCACAAAAAACCATCCGTACCAGTTCGTCCAGACTGTCAGAGCTTCTCAAAACGTACGAAGCTAATGGACACGGAAAAAAGGTCTACTACCCAGAGGACGATCAGGAACGGCATGATAAATGCGCAGCAAACTTGACATCACTAGCTGAGTGCCTAGACGAGGTAAAAGAGTAAACGGAAACGCTCGAGAGCAAAGTTGACAATATGGAGCAAGTTTTCATGGGTATCAAATCCAAAACTGAGCAAAAAGAATGGATTGCGGAGATTGAAGAGTTTGGAAAAGAATCGGAATATTCTAAAATTCTTAACGAGTCCGCCAATTTCATGCTTAGGGTTAGAACTCAAATCGCAGACGCAAAAATAAAATTACAACAGGTGCAATATAAATTGAAAATCCCTGTCCACGTAGAGCCTTCCGGTCAAAATGTTCAGGAAGACGTGGCAAGTGAGTCTTCCAGTCAGAACGTTCGGGAAGACGAACCAGGAGAGTCTAGTACGATCAGCAATGAGTCTGCTAACATGCAAACATTGCCAATAAGGAAAACACGTACTATTAAAGCACCATCAATTACATTACCGACATTTAGTGGTCGCCAGGAAGAATTTCCAGAGTATTGGGCCGTCTTTGAGACGCTCATACATGAAAATGACGAGTTATCTACAGTCGAAAAATTGTACATCTCAAAGAAAGTTTGAAAGGAGCAGCTGAGAAAGCCATTCGAGGCATCAAGCCTGTTCCAGCCAATTACGACTGGATGGTCGATATTGTAACGAAACGCTTTGGTAATAAAACTACGAACAGGTCCAAAATTGTGCAAAAACTGTTCGAGCTCAGGTCCGCAAATAAAAAGGCGGAGAGCTGCCAGGAGTGTTTCGACTCCATACAAACACTCGTCAATCAGATGGTGTCCGCGGGCTACGACATCCGCCCTATGTGTGACCCTATGTGGACGGAGACTATCCTCAAAAAATTTCCGTATGAAATTGTCAAGGACATACTAGTGAAGAATCAGGCGACCGATACATTGAGAGTCGAGGACTTGTTAGAAGCTTTGGACAGGGAGATTTCAGCCAAGGCGTATGTGGAGCTACGCCTCGGTACTACCAATACTGATACAAACGGGTTACATTCACAAGATCGTCGCCCAAACTTACCAGGTGACTGCATTTTCTGCGGCAAGTCGAATCACCAAGCCGCTCTGTGCAGGTCCATCGTCGACTGGCAAAAACGCCGGGACATTCTCAAACAGCAGCGACGATGTTGGAAATGTTTTCAAAACTCACGTTCCAGCAGCAGCTGCAAATCTGCGGACTGTTCTAGATGCGGACGCGCGCATCATGTGTCCGTCTGCCTTTCTTCGGGACATCCGGGTCCCTCCGCGTCGAACCAGCCGCACGCATCGAAGTGGTCGAAAAATGAAACCACCCAAGATCGTTTCAACAACAGATTTCCTGTTAGGAATACACAACCCGCTAACAGACAAGCATATTCTGGGAATGATATACGACGCCAGCAGCAAAGCGCTAATCAACCGTTTGCTTCAAACCAGAACATCCAAAATGAAAACTGCATGTCATCTGCTCATAGGAAAAGCGAGCAGCTCGTTCTCATGACCGCTGAAGGGAATGTGTGGAACCACAAAGCGCATAGTTTTGAAAAAGCTTTGTTCTTTTTCGACACTGGAGCCCAAAAAACGGTAATTGAAGAGGTTCTCTCGGAAAAACTCGGATTGCCACGCATTACTTCCGAGACTTGCATTATGTCAGGTATCGGTGGACATACGGAAAAGTTTGAAAGCCATTTAGTAGCCCTTAAAGTTGGCACAGCGTATGGCAGAGAAATAGATATGACCATGCAAACAAAGCCAATCATAACTGGCGGGTTCCCATCCGTCAAACTTACAGAAAGTGATCGCGATTTCTTACAAAAGAGTGAATTATGCATAGCAAATCCAAAAATCAGAGGAGAACGTCAGATTCCTCATATCCTAGTCGGCCTTGATCGCTACTATGATTTCATTATTTCGAACACAACCGCTACTACTACTCCGTCAGGTCTGCATGTAGCCAAAACAGTGTTCGGCCCTACTGTTTACGGTCGTGGCCATATTGATGATAGCAATAACACGACCACACTGGTCCATTCCATGTCTGCAGTATGCGAATGTTCAGACAGCGATAACATTCAAAAACTTTTCGAGCTAGAAAACATTGGCATCACTTCTCTTGAAAGTGACAAAGATCAGGGTACTTTAAAGTACTTCAGGGAGTACTCGAAAACGATCACGTTCGACGGCAACTATATCACAGTGCCGTTTCCACTCAAGGACAATATAGCTGAACTCAGCGATAACTACGGGGTCGCAATCAAGAGATTGGCGGCTCTCCAAAGGAACTTACACGCCAGTGGCGAACAGATGGAGTGGTATAGCAGAACACTCACAGATTACGAGCACCAGAACGTAATCGAGAGTATTTACGAACCAGAAGATGGTGCTGTTGGCAAGTATTATATGCCGCATACTGGCGTTTGGCGCCCAGAAAAACAAAAACCGCTGCGAATTGTTTTTGATGCTTCTTCAAAAAAGAGAGGCGAGCTTTCTTTAAATGACGTAATCCACAAAGGAGAATCTTTTGTGAATAAGATTCACGACATACTGCTCGCATCTCGAACAAGTAAATACATTTTACTTTGCGATATCGAGGCAGCATTCACACAGATACGCCTTTGCACATCCCATAAAGACTTGTGCAGGTTTCATCCAAAACGAATATTATAGAATACCGTTTTACTAGGATTCCATTCGGAGTAACTGCCTCTTCAAGCATCTATATATATATAAAACTCAAACACTGTACCGTGTTTGTTAGGATGTTTGTGGCTTATAGACTCCTTTGTATGTGAACCAAAGAGGCTGAATTTTGTTTCCCTATAAATGAGACACGGCGCATCAGATAGGCTACTTTTTTCGACAATTCGCTGGGTCCTTCTATCGATTTATTGATTTTGTTTACTAAAATCTAGGAAAATGAAGGCTATACCATTCATTTCTCCAACTTAAGTAGTAAGGGGTGGTAGAGATCATTTACACTTTGCGGTGAGGAGCATGCGGTGTCATGAAGCGAACCGGTCAAGAAAGAAGACTATTCACCACGGATACTACACGAGCGCTGGAACTGACAAGGAGGTGAAGCAGGAGAGTCACAGAAGATGTGAACTGAAGAAAGTGGAGGACTGGTAAGTATACATCTTGAAGCACACCCTATGCTGAGCCATTCTGGACTCTCGGCCCGGGCGGGACCGGGGACCGCAGCAGTTTTGAATATGGCAATCTCAGCGTACTTGGAATCTCTTGAATCAGTAATTGCATCTGAAATTGCACGCAACATCTACGTTGACAACATACTGTTATTGGCAGAAACTGAAAAGGAAGCGTTGGAAAAGTACGCGCTTTCCAAGAACATTTTTTCACAAATTGGTATGAACCTACACGAATATCTATTTAACTCAGACATTGTGAACCAAGCAATTGCCACCCATGACCGACAACCAGCAGGGAAAATTAAATTGCTTGGAGTGAGTTATGACACTGTGAACGACCGTTTTTCGGTCCCTGCACACTTTCCATGCAAAAATCATTTAACTAAACGCGAGATTGTTAGCACCATCAATTCTTTGTATGATCCACTTGGCATAGCCGGTCCACTGGTAAAGTGCGGTTCATAATTATACGAACACCCCAAATTTTGAAAGTTTTGGACTTTTTGGAAGAAACTCAAAAAGCCGTTAGTACCACGCGATAGAGCACAGCCGAAAACGGTATAGATCCAACAAGAATGGAAATCGACGTCAATCTGAGGAGTGTTTTTGCGCCTAATGCGAATTTTCAGCGGTTCATAATTATACGAACACCTCAAACAAAGGTCCATTTTTCATTCAAGATTGCAATCTTTCAAATCCAAACTTTTTGTAGAGTTGCAGTAACAAAGTCTGACATATCTGCTACACACTGCACCCAGTGCAGTTTAATAATAGGACCGTTACCCTTTTCAGAAGGCTCTAAATGCTTTTGGAGTGATTACGCTCCAAAAACATCCGTTCTTCTGTGGTTTACGCACTCTAATTAGCTTGTACCAAGGCTTTGAGATAAAATAAGCTCTTTCGATAGATATTTTGTCTAACGCTTGGAAAATCTATGCGTTTTCGTGCCGTTTTTCAACCAAGTTCCAACCTTACCCTAGAGTCAGCACGATTTCGAGCCTCAAAACTCAGCTTCGGAAGCCCTACAATGAAGTAAGCAGATGGTATGTAGAAGTTCACAAGACTATGTATTTGGCTAGAAAAAAATCAGCAGCGTTGAGCGCTTGTTTTGGCCACGCAGACGTCATTTCACCAAAACCACTGTTTTTACTATTGCAATCACAACTTTATTTGGTTTTTTGCTCCATAGCTTCAAGATCAGTTCTACAAAAAACGCAAAAATTTTGGCATGGATACATCATCATGCAAGGAATGCAGCAGCTTCATATCAAATGTTTGCGCGAGAGAGAAGCTGAGTTTTGAGGCTCGAAATCGTGCTAACTCTAAGGTAAGGTTGGAACTTAGTTGAAAAAACGGCACGAAAACGCAAGGATTTTCCAAGCGTCAAACAAAATACCTATCGAAAGAGCTTATTTTATCTCATAGCTTTGGTAGAAGCTAACTAGAGCGCGTAAACCACAGAAGAACGGATGTTTTTGGAGCGCAATCACTCCAAAAGCATTTAAAGCCATCTGAAAAAAGTAGCGATCCTCTTTTTGAGTTGCACTGGGTGCAGTGTATAGCAGATATGTCAGACTTTGTTGCTGTAACTCTACAAAAAATTTGGATTCGAAAGATTGCAGTCTTGAATGAAAAGTGGACCTTTGTTTGAGGTGTTCGTATAATTATGAACCGCTAAAAATTCGCATTAGGCGCAAAAACACTCCTAAGATTGACATCGATTTCCATTCTTGTGGACCGTATACCGTTTTCGGCTGTGCTCTATCGCGTGGTACTAACGACTTTTTGAGTTTCTTCCAGAAAGTCCAAAAACTTTTAAAATTTAGGGTGTTCGTATAATTATGAACCGCACTTTAGTAGGAATAAGGTCACTTATGCGGGATGCATTTAACGGTGTACTCGGCTGGTCCGACCGTGTGCCCATCCAGTTGGCTAAAAAATGGAATGAACGAAATGCCAAGATAGATGCAGCTCTGATAGAGATCCCGCGTTTGATTATTTCCGCAAATGACGCATGTACGAATCTTTGCCTATGGCTATTTGCAGATGCCAGCAAATCATCAATGGCAACTTGCGCCTACATTCAAAACATGAAAAACAAAGCTCTTAGTCAGCTCATTAGTGGGAAAACGAAGCTTACACCAAAAAGCTCACATCAGACCATGCCTCGCTTAGAGTTACTTGCTATTCTACTAGCGTTACGACTAGGTACCAGCGTAGTGCAAGCTGTCAATAGAGGCATAAAATCTATAAATATCGTCAGCGGTAGCGAAATAGCTTTGTGTTGGATTAAAACACAACATCGAATTCCCATTTTCGTTGCAAATCAACGAGATAAAATACTCAAACTCAAGGGTCAGTTTGAAAAGCAAGACATTGTGGTACGATTTATGCATGTTGCAACATCCTCCAATCCAGCTGACGCTGGCACTAGAGGTCTCACAGCAACCGAGATTATTAGCCATGATTGGGTCCGGGGACCGCAATGGCTCAATGACGAGCAGTTGTTGCAAAATTTGAGATTCATGGACGAAATTGAAGTAGACAATTTCGAAGAATCTTTCCAAGAACCAAGTGTAGAAACCGTCGCAATCGAAAAATCAATATTACCTACGGACTCCGTCGTTGACCTGTCGCGTTTCTCCAAACTCGACATTGCCCTGAGGACAGTCGTCCGAGTTGCGAAGTACCTCCGCAAGTTGGCAACAGGCGTTGATAAAAGAAAAGGTACCAATATGAGTGGGAAAATGCTCCCTCAATTTGACTCGTGTACACATGTCACAGAGCAGGATATGTCCGCCGCTCGAACACTTCTGATTTCTCAGATACATGAAAATTTCGATCTCAACGAACTTCAGAAAACGTACTGTGACAAACGCCTAATAATGGATAAAGATGGTGTGATTCGTCACTTATCAAGATTACAACTTGCTAACATCCCTCTTGATTCAAAATCCCCAATGTTCTTACCAAACAGAGGCGAATTTACTAGACTCGTTTTGGAAGACATACATAGGAAGAATTACCATTGCGGAAAAGATCACACGCTTGCGATAGCGCGAGAACGCTTTTGGATACCAAAGCCGTCTGGTGCATTCCGTACTTACTTGAAGAATTGCGCGGTCTGTAAGCGCTGGCAGGGTTTAACATTCGGTGCACCAGCAATGCCTTCATTACAGCAAGATAGAGTGCAGATATCAAAACCATTCCTTAATTGCGGTTGTGACTTTATGGGTCCGTTTTTATCCAAGAATGGAGAAAACACGTACATCTGCTTATACGCAGTTCACCTCGAAGTTGTTGACAGCCTCTCAACAGGCGCCTTCCTGAGCAGTTTCATACGCTTCATATCAAGAAGAGGTGTTCCGCAACTTATGCGCACTGATTGCGGCACAAATTTCAAGCTTGGGTCACGAGTAATTGAGGAGCTATTCCGTACAGATGAGTCCTCTGGCAGCTCAGTAATGTCGTACAGCTCTACCAACGGCGTTAAATGGTTGTTCAACCCGCCAGCCAGCCCATGGATGGGTGGAGCTTGGGAACGGCTGGTCGGTTCCGTGAAAAAATCCATGCAAAAGTCATTTGGCAGAAAAAGACTCAGTTTCGTAGAGTTTTGTACGGTTATTAGTCAAATAGAAGCGGTCATTAACACTAGACCACTAACAAAACTCAGCACTTCGTTTTTGGAAGAGATTCCCTTGCGTCCTATTGATTTCCTGCAGGGGAACATCAAGTATTCATTACCAGACACAGCAAGTGCTAATTGCGACGACGATCTTAGCTATGATCCTGACTTGATACAAACCACAAAGCAAGCTGTGAAGCATTGGAGTACTCTTCTCAAATTGCCAATAAATTTTGGGAACGGTGGAGCTCCGAATATCTAACAGCTTTCGGAGAGATACACAGAAGTATACTCAAGCAACCGCGGCATATCATTAGAGCCAAACCAGAAATTGGTGAGATTGTTCTAATTGAGCAAGAAATGTTACCAAGAGGAAGCTGGTGTTACGGCAAGATCATTGCCCTCATTGAAAGCGCAGATGGCGGTCTACGATCATTGAAAATTATGATCCCGAATGAGAAAGTATTGCATCGTCCCATGAATAAGGTTTATCCTCTAGAAATTAGAAGTGCGGTCTTATAAGATCAAAACGAATCACTTCCAACACCTCCAGTCGGTGAACAGCAGCAGGAAACAAAACAAAGACCTGCACGTCAATCTAAACTGAGAGCTTTAGAACGCCTGAAAAGTTCAGGAGACAGCGCTGAAGATGATGATCAGTTCAGCCAAAGTCAGCAAAACGGATACTCAAACTTCGCAACTGCATCGCCTGCACCGGCGAGCCTATCTCGACAAAGTTACAATTTTCCTACAATTGGTGTACGACGTGTTTTATTTCCAAAGTGGATAGACACTCAAGAAAGCCTTTCCATTATAACTAACCACCTGTCATTTTCACGGAATTATTTACAAGTATGCTCAACGCATGATTCAGGCCGCCATGGACAAAAGTGCAGCTCATTCCATGTAGAAACTTGAGCGATTTCTCACACTTCTATCACAGAGATCTCATCATGTTGCATCCGCTGAAGCAACGTTACCTGAGAGACGCCAGTTTCAAACAAAGGTATTCGGGGTGTAGGACGATTCGCACGACCGTTATGGTTTCCACACAGGACCACCGCCGCGCGCGCAACACCCTGCGGCGGCTTTTGCCTAAGCAAAACAGGGGAAGGAAACATTTGCGGCGTGCATTACATGTTAAGACAAGTCAAACTCAGGGAAACGTTGGAGACCGCTCGTGCGAAAAGACCGTCTCCCGGTATTCGTGAATTCAGAGAATTCTGAATTTCCAAGGGCATTTTAGATATTGCAACTCAGTGATGCGAACATTTAGAGAAATGCTTCTGACTGTGCCATGATAACAGCAGAATTTAGGCGTTAAAATCTAGTGTATAATTCAATCTTTGATAGAGCATTTCAAGAGTTTTTGATGGTACTTCGCAAACAATTACAGTCGTTAATCCAATGTTATTTATATGACAAAAGCAACAGATATACCTTCAGCGGTAATAGAATACGCATTCTGGTATATTATGAGTTTCAAAGACAACGGGAATGACCAAATATGTATTAGCCAGTGGCGGTCCGAGGAGGGGGCCTCCCCCTTCCCCCCCTCTCCCCCCCCCCCTCCCGAGAATGGGTCGCGAAGTTTTTGAAAGTCATTATATGGATCATAATGTGCAAGTGACTTCTTTGTACTTGTAAATAATTAAAATAATTTTCAAAATTTTTTAAAAGTTCAAATTAGCCTTGTAAAAACATTTTTCAGGGGCGTGGCTGCCACCACGCCCCCTTCTTCTAATATTTTGGGGTCATGGGCCCACAAAGAATGTGGGGAACATCCTAAAAAATTTTCGGAGTGCGTGGCTAACGCCACGCACCTCCACTCAAAAACAATTTTTGTCGCCCTCCCTCCCTTCAGTGCGAAATCCTGGGACCGCCACTGGTATTAGCTGATACCAATTATAATCAGTGGAAAGAGTTAGCACAACACTGAAAGCAAATACCTTTTTTTGGTATTTTTTGCATCACTTTTTAGCAAAAATGTAGAGCGATTACAACACTTAGCACTTATTTCTCTGATTTCAAGCCATGCTTATAGTAGACGTCATCCTCTAGTCACCTCGGTGCGATGTGTGTTACTGCACACAATTTTGAAATTCCGGATGAGGTCTGGGCACCCGCCGCGCCGTACTTGCACAAAGTGCGCATACGGCAAAAATTCGACGCCAACTGCTCGTTTTTTGATGTTTTTTTGTTTTTAGCTGCATGCACGGTCTATTCTTCAATGATTTGTTGCCATTTGCACTCGTAGATTGCCGTTTTAGATTGGATATCTAAAAATTTATCACTTCTGCTTGCAGATAAGGGAGGCACATGGGCAATCATGCAGGATTGTAAAGTAAGTGTGCTTTGCGATGCTGAATAAGATCCATGGAATTCACAAACATCGCATAAACAGCAAAAATTTCTGCTGGAAGCAATCCCATGTTTGAAAATAGCTTCTCATTGAAGCTCGGCACAAGAAACCAGGATTTTCGATAACAATCAAAAATAAGTCGAAACTCGCATTGTCACTCTATTCTTTCTACATACGACAGTACTGGAAAGCACACTTACTTCACAATCCTGCAAGATTGCCCATGTGCCTCTTTTACCTAGCAGAAGTGATAAATTTTAAGATATCCGATCTAAAACGGCTATGTACGAGTGTCAAGGTAACAAATTCTTAAAAATTAGACCGTGCATGCAGCTAAAAACAAAAAAAACATCAAAATAAAAAACGGGTAGTTTGGCGTCGAGTTTCAAAGACAGTGGATCGGCAAAATCTAACAACTCGGGATTTTAACGCGGTAGGTTCCTTATCCCCCAACTATGAAAACAGTGCAATCCCGGTTGCACAGCATGCTTTCCCTGCCGAGAAAATCGCTCTCAAACATACACGCGCAGGCCAATCTTACACGCATCTGGACGAGTTGGCAATTTCCTTCTCACCATTGGAGGCTGCCCGCCGCAACGCTATAACCATTGGGTCCTGCCACGATTTAGCGTTATCGGCCTTGCTCTACTCATTCAATATCAAAGGGAAGGGCATTAAAAAACGCTCATTTTCGCCGTTTTCAGGCTTTTAAAAGTGGATTTTCGGGGTCAGCGTATTGAAAAACCCCAGGTAAGCGCAAATTTGACTAGGTTAAGATTTGCCGCCGCACTGCCTTTAACCGCATGCGCACTCGGTGCAAGTACGGCACGGCGGGAGCCCAGCACCTCATCCGGGATTTCAAAATTGTGTGCAGTAACACACATCGCACCGAGGTGACTAGACGGATGACGTCCACTATAGGTGTGTATCGAGTTGTTGACCGCACTGGATATAGTTGCGGTGTACGCGCTGCTAGGTAAAACCTTTGCACTAGTACAAATCGCCATTGCACAACTCATGCTCTCATTTTAGCCGCGCAGCGCGTGGTCGCAAAAGCGCGAAAACGGTCATGTTTTTGCATTTTGATCGGGAGGCAACTAATTCTCCCGCATCCGTGCAAGAAGAGGAAAAAATGCAGAGTTCCGGCGTGAAACCTGATGATATTGCGGCGCCTGACTAGCCGTTGATTTCTTAAAATAATTTTTAAAAAACCCGCTGGGGATCACACAAAAGCTATAAACAAGTCAAGCAGGTCAAGCAACAACAGGTTTTTCTTCAGTGTTGCTTGAGGATGGTGATCACTTTGAAGCAGGGTCCACCCAAACTGTCGTCTCACGTTTTCAGCATTCTGGGAGCTTTCACTGCCCTTGAATTCAAATATGGGGTCAGAATACGTGAAAAGAATGAAAACCTTTCCTAAATCCTATTTTGCAAGCGTGGAACGAGCCCTCGGGTGTCAGTCTAGTCGCGTTAGAAATTCCCTTCAAATGCTACACGAATAAACATGCACGAATACACGCGTCCCGGCTGCGCTTGTCATGTCGGAACGCGTCTCCTTGTTTGAGCTGGAATTTAACCCATTGACGACGACGCCTAATTTTGCGCGGCGGCGCTGTGGGACGACGCGATTTTGCACAACACTTTAGTGTGGGAAGGTTTCGTGCTTATTTACGAAATGCAACATTGTTTTGTAAACAGCTATCAACATTTTCTTGAACGACAGAGCCTATAGGTCCTAAGAATACAAAAAATTGGAAAAAATTATCAGATGTGGAAAAAATATTAAACTTGCAAATAGTACGACTTTGCGAGAGGTGTGGGCGGGTCCACATCGTCCCTGGCAGCAAAAAGCGCGTAGGCCACCGGTGGTCCACATCGTCGTCAATGGGTTAATAGAAGGGACGAAGCCCTTGAAGTCCTAAAGTCAGGGTCCCGACTTAGGACGGAGGGGGGCCTCATCTAAGGCAGTAGGTCTTGAGCTTTTGGCAGCAGGCGATAGTAGGTCCAATCATGCCGATGCGCAACTCGCGGCGCACATTCGCACAAAACCTCTCCAAATTGAGAAGAGAGCAGTGGACATCTCGCAACCCCCTCCAGTAATGTCCGCCCATCAGTGCTCACTCATCCAATCCCCATTCCGGAGAAGCCGCAGGGTGGGTTCTCTACGAGTATTGTTGGAATTTCCGCGGATTCTGAATTCTTAATCAGGAACATGAGAAGGCCCCGCAACAACAAAAGCATGGAAGTCGAGGGTGGATGGTGCGCTTGAAGGCACGTAGAAGCAAATGATCTTTAAGTTCTTCCCAGATCAGGGCCATTCTAATTTCAAGTTCAAAGAGTAAATCCCTCAGAAAGAACTTTTTTAGACTATTTTGTAAGAGGTCTGGACGATGCTCCTGGCACTGTTCTTGTCGCAAAAAGCATTAACAGGTCAAACAGTATTTTTCAGTTGCGCTAGCCATTGAAAACGTGTCAAGGTATAGGAAGATTTCGTTCAGGAGTTGGCTTCGCGAGAAAGTGGGCGGGGTTCGCGAGGCTCTGCGATTTCGCGCCAATTTTCGCCGTTTAGAGAGGATGTTTGGAGGTCGGATTTGCGCCATAGCTTCAGATCGAAGCCCTAGCACTCGCCTATGATAGTAGCAGAATGTCCAGATCTGCTCCTACGTTACCTTCAATATTCCCCGAATTGTCTATCATCTCTTTTCAGGGGCAACTACGGCGGTTCGGTTCAACGCAGTTCCTTTCTACGGCCTGCTTACATTGTATAGTAATCTAGAGAACATGATTGCTTTAATGCGGATTTTACAAATGGTCAGCGTAAGTGAAAAGCAGCGGAAGAGAGGTATAGTCTGCCCCAATCGGGATCAGGCCGAACCGTCGGCGTGGATTAGCGCGCTCGCGGCGCTGGGCGTTTGCGCTGCATATGCGCGCTGGCGGGGAGAGCGAGAAGTTCGAAGAGGGAGCAGACAAGCAGGCCGTGGACGTGACCGCGAAACCCTAGTGACGCGGACTCCCGCCATGCCAATTTTGGCCTGATTAGGATTGGTTCAGGCTGTACCACGAGCCAAAATCACTGCTCTCCCTGGCATACTTTTGGTGAGGTCAGACAGTATATCCACCATCAAATTGTTTGCTTGTTAATATCAAATTCATTTTGCTGGGAGCATGGATACCATCTCCAGGATCACATTATTCAATTTTAATAACTATAATTATAGAGCAGTCAAATACCAGCTTCATCACACTTTTATTCAGATTGGATCCAATGTGCCGACTTGTCGGCACCTTCCTTACAACCATATCGTTACTCCTGCTAAGCACCGTAAAGGTCATGCCATAAGCATGACCTGCTGTGATATGAGTGTATTATTGCCCAGATGTTTGTGATACTACTTTATCACGCCTTCAATCCTCAGCATTCTACCACTGCACGAATGGGTGCATGTCGTCTGTTCAATAAAGCTCTAACAGCTTACGTGTTCTAATAACACATCAGGAGCCACCATACTCCACTACAGGCGCCACCCATTCGCCTAAGGCTACAATAAAGCCTACAGCCACCACATTTATGGTGCATCGGCCAAATACGCAAGGCCGATCATACTCGCCTCAGCTACACAGGGGTTAGCTATTTAGCTATTCTAACTCTGGGACCTAGCGCCCAAAATCCGCTGCCTCGCACCTAGCGACAGCCACTCTCCTCCGCATCAGGGACTGAATCTTCCCAATTTTCGCTCAAAATTAGCGAACGGCTCAAAAAGCAGCCATATCTTCCTAACAATTTTTGAACATCAAAATGTCTCTAAATTTTTTCAAAGAGGCAATCTCATTTCACTCAAGAGCATTAGCAAATCTGCTCGAAAAATTTGATTCCTACAACTTCAAGCTCAAATTCACTTTAGAAATTGATAGAGAGCTTCAAAAGAAATGTTTCGAAAACTTAGATATTCTCCTTTCTTGCCTTTCACAAGTTAAAGCAAGAACGACAGTTTTGGACTCAATAGTCGACCAGTTTGGAGAATTTTATCTCAAGCAGTCTAAAAGCGAGAGACAAACTGTCATACTCCAGCTAGAAGAGCTTGAAAAAGAGCTTGACTTTCACCAGTTGCTTTCTAATGCTAATGTTTTTACTATCGCTGTGGAATATCAGATAGTATATGCAAAAACATACAAGAATTTTGTATCAAGTCAAGTAGTCAAAAGACAGCAATCCAGCTTGCTTCGCCGTTTCATATTTGACGCTGAAAGAGAGTTCGACAGTGTAGCAGTGATGAGCGAAACTCCTGCGACCGTAGAAGACGGCAACGAAAATGAGGAGCGTGAACACTATTCTGAAGACTGTGGAGTTGTGGCTTGTAGAGGTGCCATGGATGACAAAACATCAGCAATTTGCGATGGACATGATAGCCTGACGTCACCGACTATGCCTGATGCGAGTCAACTCAAGGACAACGACCTCAAGAGACGGTACAAGAATGCAAAGCGACAACTTAAAAACAGTAAGAGGAAGAACCAATTTTATATTCCTAAATCTATATTTTCGTCTCCCAGTGCGGATTCGCTCCGTCGTAATGATCTACATTATTCTGCCTTTTCACCATCTACTTCTTCGCCACCTCATGTCAGCTGTCACGACCACATCAGCCACAATTCCACCCCCATCAATCTGACTCCTCAAGGACGTCCACTACGGTATCCTGATAAGTACTGGATCTATACATTTGCTTACGTTAATTGTATATGTTTATGTGCTGCCCATTCGCTGTTTCTCATTTACTTCTCCCGCTGGCCGGAGTGTGCCGACTTGTCGGCACCTTCCTTACAACCATATCGTTACTCCTGCTAAGCACCGTAAAGGTCATGTCATAAGCATGACCTGCTGTGATATGAGTGTATTATTGCCCAGATGTTTGTGATACTACTTTACCACGCCTTCAATCCTCAGCATTCTACCACTGCACGAATGGGTGCATGTCGTCTGTTCAATAAAGCTCTAACAGCTTACGTGTTCTAACAACACATCAGGAGCCACCATACTCCACTACAGGCGCCACCCATTCGCCTAAGGCTACAATAAAGCCTACAGCCACCACATCCAAACTACATGGTGCACTATCATTGCGGTTAGAGTATAAATGTGTATTTTTTTGTTCTCTTGTAAGGAACGCCAAGAGCGTGTTGAATAAGTAAATATATAAATAAATCTCGAAATCCGCAGCTGTCGGCCTTTGCCTTCAGAAAACGTGTAGATTTGAGAGGCGCAGGCTCCAATGCACTACAAATATTGTCCTTCAATAATGCAAATGCCTGAATCCAAGCATGCCTAGAGATGTTCAAACCGAATGATACGCTTTCTAACAAGTATAGATGTTAGCTGCCTACTCACTATAACCTGTAAGTGATTTGTTCATGCTGATCTGCCTGTTTGTACTACTTTCCAGTACAGAAGATGCAGCGTCTTCGTGTCAAAATCGCACGTAGTTACACGAATCTCTCGCCAGAGCTCTGGTCCATAAGGGGTCAAAGATATTCTGGGCAATCAGCAGAAGTTCATTCATAACACTTTCGGCTGATCAATCTGTGATGCAAGATCTCCGTAAAGCATTTCATTTTGAAAGGGTGGGTTAAAAATATTTTCTTCCTTCGACGAATATGCAAACTCATGTTGATGCCCTATGTGATTTGTAAAGATAGAAACCGAAAATCACTAAATTAACTAGATTTACTACATCACAAGATTACTGCTTAGTACATGACAGAGCAATACAATAAAAATAGAACAATCAACAACGATCAATACAGCGAATCTTTATCTCATGTACGATGTACACTGCTGACGAATTCCGGCTATTAACAAAAATTATTGCAAACCAAGTGACTCTGCTGGTTGCGTGAAATAATCTAAAGGGGATAGAAAAATCTGTAATTTACATCTGATAAAATGATTAAAGAAAATAAATCTGATTGGAATATATATGAATTCTGGGGAGCGGGGTCGATCGCAGGGAATTAAGGCGCGAAATAGTGAATTTGTGCTAGAAAGGATAAACATTCAAATGAAATGATTACAAAGTGGGGGAGGAACGAGATGAAGGAGAGCTCTTGAGTGAAGCGTACACGTTCAAAAATCAGAAAACGGATGAGCATTGGTAGAGATGAGTGCACTCCTAGAGAACTGCCTCTGCTACAATCGCACAATACACTTCCCGGCAAGCAGCCGGGAAATAAGCTAACGAAGATCGCGCAGATAAGATGTTCGAGAGTGAGTGTGTATAAGGTTTGAAAGGAAACATCATGCCTAGCTTATGTGTAGTGAGGGAACAGAAAAATTGATAATGAGCAGAGAACGAGAAGGCACTGCGCTCATCAGATTGTCATCTTCGATATCACTCGCACCAATGCACCATTCTCTTCTTTTAATCGTTGGTTCTCCATTCGCAACTGACTCATAGCCTGGAAACGATTTTCGTGCAGTCATGCTGGACGAATGCTGTCAGATTTGTGCACATGAACACGGCAAACTGTACTCTCTACCATCTTCACGTGCTAATCGACGAAATCTTTCAGAATCAGCGCTAAAGTCTGAACATGCTGCCACTTCAAGATAATGTCCTACACAAGCGAAACCCTGCAACTTCACTTTTGCACTTCACTCTGGCAAGGCAAAGAAATGCTACTTGATGCGAATAAAGCAAGCATTCAATTCACTGAAAGAGACTTGAAGACGAAAGCGAACAGAGTCAGATAATCTAAGCAAAAGCTTTTTCCAGCGCATCTATTCAGTTTTCAGTTACTCTAGATTTTTGCTGTGCCAACCGCACAGATCATAAGAAAAATGTTTTGCTAGCTTAGTCGAAAAGACAATAAAACATTGTCAAAAGATCCATCAATTTTGCTTCACTACTGGGGCTTTGACAAAAGAGATTAAAGTGCAATTTCTTGTCGTCCTCCCTATATCTTTGATTAGTTTTTGATGGTAGCTCATCCCCGGCGAAAAATAAATACACGTCAAACTTCACCCAAATCCATATGGGGAAAGAGTCGTGGAAATGTAAAGCGCGCTGTTTTCTCATGGCGGTCGCTACCTTCCAAACAAAATAAAAAACTCAACGACGATCCAGAAAATCTTCAGCTGTAAACTAAACACATATTAGCAGAAGAAAAAGCCGCATGTTAGTTGATACAAAATCGAAAGGGATCAGTCAGATTTATCTCCTAACCGGCTGACAGGAAGGCTGAGTTTAGCGAGAACGCGCATCATTGCAGCGTTTTCAGCTCGTAGTTGCGAATTGGCCGCAGTCAAGTCGTCCAGTTCCTGCGTGCAAGAAACGATAAAATGAGGGACGGAAGCTCGGCGTAAGCTCTCGCACAACTTTTCGTACAAAGTTCAGAAAGGAAAATTATTTTGAGGCACAGCACACTAAGTAACGACGAGATTATTCTGAAGTCCTTACCTTGAGTTGAATTTCCAGATCAGCGATCTTTCGCTCCATTGTTCGTCGATCGTTGTCGTCCAAAGAGTTTCCCGACGCGGATTTGACCACTGGTGCAGGACCGCCGGCCGGCGAGCCATTGCGGAATCGAGACGTGGATGAGCGCAGTGCGGCAACCGATCCATTCTTTAAAGATATCCATATAGAAGTATAACAAAAAAGTCAGGAGAAAGCAAGAATATCACCCACATGATCGTGGGACCGTTTCGCTTCCTCTAATTCCTTTCTCAATCGTTCATTTTCCAATTTCTCTTTCTCGTAAAGCGCTTTGTAGTTGAGGTTCATTTCAGCAGGGCGTGCGTTAATGGTATACTGAAGTTTACCGTTTAGAGCATGAAACTTAACAATATCACATACAGTAGGGGTTGAAAATGAAGACGAATTCGTTACAGTCTGCCCCGGCAATCGTGGCTGGACCCGTCCAACGGTGACAGTTGCTGTGGTAGTACGGGTGGATGGAGCAGTAGTAGCGTGACCCTATAGAGTATATCAACATGCAATGAAAAAACAGATACTCAAGTTTTTCATGTTAAGCCCAAGGATAAACAAGTAGCCAGGACAACAGGTTCATATTATGTTACACATTTCAAGAACTCGACAGCTGTCTTTCATTGAAATGCTCCCATCAATATCATGTTCGTAAACTTCATATGCTACGAAAATTCTACGATAAATTAACCACTACTTCAAAGACTCGTATGATTCGAATACGACTATATCTGACTGTGGAAAGATGAAAAGTTGTGGAAAATCAAATAAAAATTTTAGACAATTTATAGAGTACACAAGACCTTCGTGGACTCCAAAAGAAAATGTCACACTAGCGCGGTATCGTGATTTAGAAAAGAATTACGCAATCTTTGCTGTACCACTTCTTCGTTGGGGACTGACACAGTCTCACATACAAAATTCCGGTTATCGTGACAATGAGATGACTCATAATTTCAGATCTACGGCGACAACCACAAAATGACAGATTCAAGAGATCAATTTATTAAGTTGGCACATAAGTAATGCAACTATATATCTTTTGTTTGTTTTGATATAACACATCATTCTTTGGCATTATGAAGATATGATGCAAGCTACAAATGCAGCCTTTTTTGTCGAATTTCGTCATCGCATGAGGATTACGGTAGGTTTACGGCATAAGAGGAAAATTCCTAGATTGCTTCAGATTTTGCTGAAACTTGGTCTAATAGGGTTTTCGACACCTGATCAGAAAAATGATGTTCATTTCGCATGAAAGAGCCTCCTTGTAAGGCTAAAGTATGAAATTTTACTTCGCAACAAATGAGCATGACGTTCGTGTTCAGCATGTCGAGTTACCCCACAGTGAAAAGTTTCCGAAAATTTTGAAGCTTCGCAGCTTATATCTTGATAGATGCCCCTTCAAATTTGACGCATTCGACTTGTTCAACCTCTCGAGAGCGCCAGATCTTGATTTGTCTTCCACGCTTGCTACTATTCGGTTTTGATACGTTCGATTCAAGCATACGGCTTCACTTCAACTCAAAAACCGTAAAATCTCGATTTTCAACAGTTTTTGAGAAAGGCTTCTAATTTTTCTATTATGTCAACAAAAAATGAACGGTTTGCGTAGACTTGTAGTTTACCTCACATTTTATATAATATCAAAAAATGAGAGCGCTGCGCTCAAAAGGGAAAATTTTTGAGAAAAGTTACAGAATTTGTGTATCAACCTAACAGTCATCCCTGAGCGTTCCAGTTGCTCTTGAAGATCTCCTTACAAAACTAAAAAAAAGTTGATTGCCGATGATTTATAAGTGTCGAAATCTAGGGACAGCTGAGAGAGATGGAATTTGTCCGCTCTAATATAAGCTGATAGGCCTTAACTTGGGAATCTAATTGAACGACCCTTTCCCTACCCCCCCCCCCTTCCTACCCTTGAAAAATTGTGATAAATGCTCGTTCCCTGACTCCACACCGGTGGTCTTTGTTCCCGCTCCAGTATACCTCCCTCCCTTCCGAGGAAAAGTAGCCCAAAGTCAGAGAAGTTTTGCACATTACAATCAGATGTTTGGCATAGCATGCAAACTGCGCTGCATGGCTATTAGAAAAAAAAAACAGTAGAACGACTTCCTTTTTAAAGTCATTGCTTCAAGAGTTTCCTAAGTTCAAGACGGATTTTTAAACGAGAGGATGGAATTTGGTCGCAGTACCAGTCTGGATCGTAACGCTTAGTGTTCAATGAAACCTAGAAGCTAATCTTAAAATTACCTCTGATTCGAGCTTACTCTTTCAGTTAGTTTACTAAGAGGTTGTCTTTTCGCATGAATGAAGAGGACGTACTGATTAAAAGCTTGACAGATGAAAAGCAGATTTGGCTCAGAATTCTAAGCTCTAGCACCGCAAATATATTCTCAAAATCAAAAGTGAACTGGCTTGTGACACAAGCCTATCCTTGAAAATGCTGCGTTTTTTAGAGAAGATTTCCGAGATTTCTAGAAATGCCTGGACAAGCTCGTTGTTAATCTTCAAATGACTGTCTATTCCTCTTTCTGTAAATGATGATTAAAGTGTGAACTTAACGTGCAAAGAAAGGGAACGGCCATAGTCAGAGACAGTTTAGAGAGCGCGCGAAACGTGGAGGCTATCATAGGAACGACCGGCAACCTCGCAACCCCGACAACACCGACAACACCGACAACCTATGGCCGTTCCCAAAAGGATTTACATCAGAAAGGTTGCCTACTGGTTGCAAGGAGAGAAAAGATTTTACCGAAGCAAACTTGAGCACGTAAGAAAAGGTGGTTTTATTAGTTTGTTGCAGGAAGGTCGCATACTAAGAAGGACTGTAAAACTCATAACAGTGGGAGACCAGCAATACCAGGGGGCATTTATTGAATGTTTATTGAACAAGAACAAAGGCTACTACCCACGATCTCTTTGACTCAAAATTCAGAGTAAACGAAGTTTGGGGAAAAAATTATGACGGGTAATCACGTCCGTCTATGCCACCGCCGTTTGAAATTTAGAAACGAAAATGAAGACATTTCAAGTTTAACGGGGGGGGGGGGGGGGGGCTCTTCTATCACTTGAGTGGTAACTACGAATGATTTTTATGCAGAAATGATGCCGAAGTTTACTTTAAGGTAGCCAATACATTTCTACAAATTTGCGCGGCTCCTCCACGCTCATCAATGAAATGGCCATTAGACATCAGTATTAACCGCAACTTGATAAACGAAAATTTTATGTTTTGGTGGGTTCGACTGATACAGATGAAAAACCCAATACTGAAGATGGACTGAAAGCGAGTGAATTCTATAATGTGCAAGCATGCAGCATCACATCTAACTTCTATTTTTGCATACAGAATCTTTTGTTTTCGTGCGAATTTTTTTGGAACAACAGTAGGGAACATGAAACGGCACAACAAAGGAAAAGCATACCGGCGGGTTAGGACTGGTAGTCGTTTCCACGCCACGTGCAACATCGGAACGAACACTAGTACTGGAGATGAGTGGTCGCGTGAATGAGCTAACGCTGACGGTCGGGCGAACGGTTGTGGTTGCCGGGACTGTGGAGTCCGTAGAAGGTGTGCGAGCGGTCGTCGCACTTCCACCCGTTTCAGCTGGTTGTCGTGCGGAAACAGCGGCTTGGATATCCTCAGCTAGTACTGGACCGGTGCCACGACGATTTGATCGTGATACGGATAAACCCTACAGAAGCTTATTCACTCTGAGATGTAACGAAAAGTGAGACTCAAACTAAAAAGTGTCATGTATGAACAGTGACAATCATGCTACAACCACAAGGGGAAAAACTCAAAAATATCTGCAGCTATATCTTCCCTAGTAACTATATACACAGTGATTGGACTATGTGCATTAAGAACCACTACATTCAATGATATTGCAAAAAAGGCTGATCATAAGTAGATGTCAGAATATTAGGATCAGTAAGGTCTGCTGCCGGACGAAGGCGCAAATCTTAGGGGACAAACGCGCTTCGCTATTAGTCGCTGGGCGGTTGCGCACAGTTCACCATGGTGGACAGACACCGCGCTGCGTCCTCGCCCGCTCGACTATCATTGCTTTTGCACCTTCGTCCGCCAGTAGACTTTACGTTTTCCAAAAGCTGTGTAGAGGCATCGTGTACGCTTTCGCAATAATCAGTAAATTACAATCATTTCCGTCGAAGGCAGTGGCTCGGCAAGATAAACCCCTGTCGGAGTTCAATTATTAGGTACGGAGCAACTTCTGCCTTTGAAGGCAATTACTTGACATTATTGGGAATCATAGAACGTTAACATAGAACTTGTTCGTCAAACAACCAAGCACCAGCCCGAGTCCGAGCATAAACATGGATCCTAGGCAACTTGTTTCACATCAGCACGCGCAAGCCAGTTCTGCTCGAGCGCGGAGTTCACGATTTCCTCCCAGTGTCAAGCCTAAGCATAAAGCATACCTCACGCGATTCGGCCAGATAGCGAGCTTCAGCGTGCCAAGCGGGTCCCAAAGCCTAGGCGCGTAGCCTTGTAACTAGTTAGCGATGGATGAAGTCTCTCAAACGAAGCCAGTTCTGCTCAAACTCGGCGGAGTAAGTGGTAACGAAACAATCGTTCCAGTTCCGGGCGCAAAGCAGATCGTATGCTTTAGGCCTTGCGCATGCTGTAGTACTGTGGCAAAGGTTCGCAATATCTATGCGTCTTCATGGGACTTATGCGTTCATGTGCCCCTTTTGAAAATGAAGGGCTCCGGAAAATGCACAATTTGGAATTTTTACGCTCTTCCGAGGGAATTTTCAAAATCAAAGTAACGCGCAATCGTAGAAAAGTGAAAACTCCGAGGTCAAAAATAGGACGAGCCACTGCCTTTAACGCCAACCCTTCTTCATCTAAGAAAGCTCTACGACAGCACATTACTCCTAAATACGCAGTAAGGTGGGACTCTGAGCCTCTCAGCAACATTTGAATAAACAAATGAGGATTTTGCCACAATTTTTGCATTCAAGGAAAATGAAGAGCCATTCCGTGGAACTTTTGACAGCAGAAAAATCAGTAAAGTAAATAACAAAGGAGGACTAAAGAAACTGAAATAGCCTATAACAGCAATGTACAAATCATTCTTTCCAACCTGACTTTTCCTTCGAATACCAACTACGGGAGGATTTGCTGTTGTAGCTGTCGATAGCGATAGGGTAGTAGCAGCTGCCGACGCTGTGGTTGCTGCTCGATCGTTGCTACGGTCCATCTCGGTAGAATCTAAATTAAGGACATTAAGCATGACTAAATTCTGCGATGGTGCAGCAATAAATGGCAATGGCACAAGATGTAAAATAGGCCCCATACATGCTGGTACGAAAAAGTGATATTTACTTCTTTTGCAAATCTGGGAGTTCTAATCCAAAACCTTATCAAAGCATCCATACAAAAACGTGAATTGAAAAGCATGATATAATCGCGGCAGCATGAATGTTTCTACATGACGGCCAATGTCGCTGAAGCTGCGAGCATAATGAAGCAAAACATTTCTCTAAGATGACTAAACGAACCCTCGCTGTGTTAAATTAACATGTAACTGTATAGACGCTTTTGATATGCGTTATATTTGAAGGTGATTCATATTGCTTCATCTTTGTTTGACTTGATATGCGGTGGAAAGACTGCACCTTTGCTTCCTAGTCGATTCGTGGTAGAGCTTTCCGTAGAGCTCCTGTCGGTACTACCGGAGCTTCGATCCGAACATATCGACGTGGAATCACGCTCCTCTGATGCTAACCTAGCTAGTACCTGAAAAAGGGGTTCCACATGGAAAGTAGCTCTTATCTGAAAACTTTGCTATAACTTGATATTATGAGACAAAGAACCAGTGGCGTACCCAGGATTTCGGCTCGGGGGGGGCGCGACAAAAAAATTTTTCGAATCAAGGGGCGTGGCGTCAGCCACGCCCTCCGAAAATTTTTTTCGAGTGGTTCCCAAAATTTTTCCGGGCCTCTGACCCCAAAATTTCAAAAAAGGGGGCGTGGCGTCAGCCACGCCCCCAAAAAAAATTTTTTTATAAGGCTAATTTGAATTTTTAAAATTTTTTACAAATTATTTTAATTATTTACAAGTATAAACAAGTCACTTGCACATTTTTATAACCCATATAAGTAACTTTCAAAAATTTCGCGACCCATTCTCGGGGGGGGCGCGCGCCCCCCCCCCCCCGCCCCCCCCCCCTCGGTACGCCACTGCAAAGAACATATAACAAAAGGAATAAAAAAAATTTCGCACCGGCTCTCGAGTGTTGGGGACGGCCGAGGTATTTGAGGTAGCACTCTGCGAAACCGCCGATCCTCGTCGTCGAGCAGCTTCAGCCATCGCTATACGGCTAGCCTCCTCCAGATGCTCCTGTAAAAATGAGTATATATATGTATTATTATATACTATGCAAACTGTAGAAACGACACGAACTAGCTTTTGACTACTGCTTGCCACCTCAGATCGAAAAAAAACGTGCATAGTTTCGGATTTGGAGAATGTAACGATCCTACAGGGATGTGACAGAAGTCGCAGTGCACTCTTGACATGAGATAGGTATCGTCAAGCAGCTTGAAACGCCGATTCCAGAACAGCCTTCCTTAGCTGCAGAACGAGTCTAACTCGGAGTTATGGCAATTTAATCACCAAATTGTGCATTATTATGAAAATCGCTCAAATACTTGTTGAGTACCACAGTATGACAGGAGGCTGCTCTTATGTCAAAAAATTACTGCGACTTCTGACGCTTTTCTTGTATTCTATTTCAATTTTATAAGGGATGGAAGCAGCAATGTAAATTATTGGAATATATTGAGATGTCAAGTCATCAAACCTTGGTGACTCCCTGAGTTGATCGTCGATGTTGTCGTTGTATCCTGGCAGTGTTTCGCCTTTCTGCCTCGCTCTCTGTGACTGCACTTGACTGCCATGGTCTGTAAGTTGAAAATTAATATGAGAAGATCTGTTAGAGTACGTCACGTGGACAATGCAGGATCGGCTTTGAAAGAACAAAACCATGCAATTATCAGGGCAGGACGGGAAAAGGGGATGGGTGAAAGCTAATTTTGAGAGCAAGGTCAACATTTAGAAGCAGCACATTGACGATTAAGGTAGGACAAGTTGTTAGTGTTCTTCACATAAATGATGCCGGTCGAGTGATCGAGTAACAAAAATCTGCACCTCATTTTGCTTGGATTAAGTTGATGTGGATGAAGACCCCGCGGTAGTTCACCGCATACCACCGGCGGGGCGGTCTCGCTAGAACTCGACAAGGGACGAAACGCGGAAACCCGGCTCTGTGCGAATGGTGAGGTGGGAGTGCCGACAGATGGCGACTGCGGGTCGCTGCTGCTGGGAGATTGTACTGTACTGTTGTACACGCGAGAAAGGGACGCCCACGGCAAATTCGATGGCGTTGGTTTGGTTCGCTGCACCGTTGTGGGCAAACAACTGCAACACCATTTATACGATGGAAACTGAAGACACAGGTAAAAGCTGCTAAAATACTGGGTTAGGACTAAAAGCGGTGCTTGAACAAAAAACATATAGGTAATACTGTAGCACGGTCTCTTCAGCCATGAACAAAAAAGAAAAAATTTCAAAGCGCGACCAGTTCATAGATTCTAAAAAAAAACTTACGGTGGCTTAGCAAGCACTGGCGCTGTCGTTGTATACTGTCCACCACTGGTTCCGGAAGACACTGGCAGCGTCATGGACATCGGTGAAGGGGAATCCGATGACGCTGTTGCCGATGACCTTGAAGCTCCGGAACTAGAACTACTACCGGATCTGGAAGATTTCATGAAATTACCTCATGGAAGGGAAGGTTGGAATTTGTACAAACCTCGTTATAAGCTGCACACCACGATTTATCCAAGAATTTGGTTGCTGGAGAGGTCGAGTCGGTATCGGAACTGTAGCGGACACATGCTGATCTCCACTGTGGATGGAGGAAGATGATCCATCCTGTACCACACACGCTAGTTTCTGCGGTGAGTTTCGACTTGGCTCCCTTACTGAAGTTTTTGATGATTCAGTCGTCGATGGGGTTTGACTAGAGGATCGTTGTAGCTCTAAGGGCTTGATAGGAGGTAATGTACGGTCGGCAGAAACCGTTGATCGCACAGAGGATGGCAATCGTTCAGGTGGGGACAGCTCCCTCGTCGTTCTAAAAAAGAACTCTACAAGATGGCAGTGTATATAAAACTGTTTCAATATCACTGGAGTGATTCAGAGTCATTCTTTTCGTTTGCAGCATTAACGCATAGATACGCAACTGACGTCACCAAATCAAGTGGTTAATAACAAAAAAAGCTCTGGGACAGATCTGACTCTTGTATTGGTTTATTGTGGAATTTATAACTAAAAAGGCAAAAAGAATGAGTGCTTTTTCTCTGAATTAAAAAAGAGTGTATGTCTGCAAGGATGCACCCGCCTATCACATCATTCGACTTCACATGCCGGATGCTAGTGTACACAGCTGAATATATACGACTCATAAGCGTAATCGCCTACTTGACGAATTGCATATTGATATTTGCTGTGCTCTTTCAGAAACAAATAAAGCAATCGTCATTAAAGAGGAATCAAAAAGACACCTCGGTAAAGATGGCGGTTCACTGGCGCTTCTTTCTGCAGACGAAAGCTTCTCATCAGCCGCTTCATTGGGGGACCGCGGCTCACTTTCGGTGGACTCACGCAACGATGGTGACTCGGATGGTGGCGACGGTGACTTCGAGTCACCGACTCGCCGAACTTTCACAGAGGAGTGTAGCACTTCGTTCTCACTATACATGGATGCTTGTTTTTGAAGGCTTAATCTCACACTCAGCGAAGAACTAAGAAACTATGAAAATGCATGAACACTCATTACCTGACTTGATCTTTCCGTTGTATTTCGTGCTTACGATCTGTCGTCAGAACATGGTCTTCATGGGAAAGTCTATTGTTCTTTTCCTTGAACAGATTCATGTGATGGCACTAACCATGTGTAAAAAAAATTGCTTACTTGTAGTATTCCAGCCGGGGCTGCCGGAGGAGATTTTCGCTTATCAACAGATCGTTCCAAGTCTTCCAAGTATTCCACAACATCTTTATCAGCCACAGCTAACACATTTTGACCCTTAAGAGGAATAAATTCATTTGATTTCCTTGATACTCTTCAACATACCGCATAGTTGGTATCATTTACGCTGGCACCATGTTCAAGGAGAATTTTACACGAATCTTTCTCTGCCCAGTGGGCTGCGGCATGCAAAGGCGTCCATCCATCCTGTAATGGTTTAACTGAATCTAGCCTCGAATGACTTTTGTAGTACTATATACCAGAAAAAACGAGAGAATGAAACGGGGGAATGACTGAATAGATCTTCGTATTTTTAAACTGAACATGATCGCATACATACTGAACGAGTCTTATACTCCGACATGGAGCGACACACAGGATTCACAAATTCATCAATTTTGTGACAGACATAAAGCAGGGCAAAAATAAATGCACATCTTGTTAGCTAAGCTATCAAAAGCAAAAATACCTCCCAATGAACCCGAACAAAAACTAGAATTTGTGGACTTTATGCTTTCATGATAAAAAAGTGAGTAATTGTATGCAGTTGCAACGTGAAAAAATAAGGCAACAAAAGATGAGCGTACAAATGCTGAGACATTACATAATGTTGTGAGGTAATCTTTCCCAACGAGCAAAATGTAGCGTACATAGGGCTTACCTTATCTCTAGCTAGTATATTGCCACCGGCTTTGATCAGTAACTCCAGGAGTTGAGTATAACCCTTAGCCGCAGCAACATGCAACGCAGTGGCTCCTGTACGAGGATGCGGCTGATCTCTACAACAATTAGCTTTATATGGAGGTACCGAAATGCAATTGTACTGATCCGTACGAAATGTTATGGATAGTTATTGCGCAAACCGCTAATGTCGCAGTCTCAGGACTATTCGCATTCAATTTGTAAGATGCAATTCCAATCACATTTGATTGAGAGTAATTTGCCAAAACAAAATCGAGGTGTGCGAAAAACCACCAAATTAAATCCTGCTAATGCCATACCGATATTCTCCATCGCGTATCCATTGCTGCACATCCCTCATCATTGTGGCAAACTCCTGATCTCGGCATTGCTCGGGAATGACTCCTTGCTTCCGATAATCGTGCTCGAGGTATTCTCTACATGATTCGTCATCGGCAAGGTCCAGCGCCAATTCTTTGTCGCTAAAATTGTCTAGCACATGAGCGCGATGACAGCATGATAAAACGAAGAGAAAGTGCCAATAGAACCATAGACGTTGTCAATCACCTGTTAATTACGTTGAGGAGGGCACCGTTCTGACATAAATACCTAACTATGGCAAGATTTCCACAACAAGCAGCTGCATGTAATGGCGTCCATCCCTCATTATCTTGAGCATTTACATCAGCACCTTTTTCGCATAAAAATCGCACCATTTCCGGCTTACTGTCGATAACAGACTGTAAGACCCACTCCATGAAAATGTTTACCAAAGACAAAAACCATAGCGAGCATAAATTGTACATCAAATAGAATGGTACAAGTACCTGATGTAAAGCCGTAAGCCCGTCAACAGTGGCAGTGTTGATATCAGCACCCTTTGCTAACAATTCTTCCACTTCTTCCTCATCGCCAGACATGCACGCACTCAGGAAGATATCACTGTCCTAAAATAAAGTTGTTGAAAGTGGAGAATACAGACACTAAAAGCATGGAATAGCATACAACTCATAATGAAGTGGAAACAAACGAGGCATCTACGAAAAGCAAGATCCACGTCATTCAAAAAGAAGAAAAACAGACCTGAAATTGTACACGAGCCTTCTTTCGTCGATGCACAGGCTCACCATTCATTTCGCTGCTCTCCCACCTTTTCAACTGCTCCTGAAACTCACAGATTACACCATATGATCGTGTAAACTTAGGCCTTAATGAGTTGCATGTCATAGTAATCGTTCTCCGCCTCACATGACAGGAAATGTTGACTATCGAGAAATTTGTTCATGTCAATACAGCTGATACCACAGAGCATGGCAATCGTTATAGTCAAGCGTTATAGCTGCTCATTATGTTGTTCTTCACAGAACTTCATCCAAATCGTTCATAGATACCGCTTTTTGAAATGCTTCTGTTTGCAGTGAACGGACTTCTTAAAGGCAGCGTCCAGGCAGATCTGGACCTATGGGGCTTTTACGTGAAAAGTACTTTTGGGGCCCTGACTAAGGCACAGCCCAAGCGGCAGCTTAGGTAGTGCTCTAATCGCTGAGATATTCCCCTCGAAACTGGCCCCCGCGAACGTATTCGCATGGATTCATGGCACTTTCGCGCCAGGATCCACGCTTTGCGCCATGAACCCATGCGAAACACGGTCGCGGGGGCCAGTTTCGAGGAGAATATCTCAGCCATTACAGCACTACCTGAGCTGCCGCTTGGGCAGTGCCTTAGTTAGGGCCCCAAAAGTACTTTCCACGTAAAAACCCCATAGGTCCAGGTCTGTCTGGACGCTGCCTTTAAAAGGTCCCACTAAACCGAAGTTAGTAAAACCAAGGAGGAAAAAAATATGAAAGATGACTCATCAGCACTTATTATTAGATAGAGACGTGCTGGAAACATGATGAGTTGCAAAAAATAAAACATTTCAAAATAAGCGTTGCATACTAAGATAACCGACACAAAACTTAAGCGTAAAAAACCTAATGATGCTTCGATTTAAAAAGCTTATATTGTCAAGACCACCTCTATAAATCCAGTCAAACATTATTAATATTCAGCACATCATGCATTACGCTATATTAAGCATGTGATCTCAGTAACAAGCAGAAACACGCTGGTATGTGTATGCTTAGTGAATCTGGCCACTACGGCATTTACAATGCTTGATCACAACCACTCAATGCGAAGAAGAGCTTTCGCAAAAGCCTGCTTAGCCACGGCTTCTGGACAAGGTGGTCATTATGAAGAATGATCCGATCTTTCTCCGATAGCGAACAACAGACATGGGGAAGTTAGGAAACAAAGAATCGATCATGAATGTTTTGAGCGGAGCCATACAATATTGCGCGAATAGCAATGATTCGTAGAAAAATACGAAGTTCCACAAAAGTCAATTGCACTAAAAGTTACACGAGTAGTAATTCTCGCTCCAGCAGCCCTTTCGAATATATTACACTATGGACCACCTAGTCGTATTAACTCACGACAAATGCACTTTCGATCAGTAACAAAAAGTTGCCTCCATGAATTCACCGCATTTGCTTTGGCATTCGTAATAAAGGCGATGCCATTATCTCATAGTTTTCTGATGGAATAGAAAAAAAACTATGTGCCAAAGACTTGCAAAGCGAAATGATTTATAGTCATCGAAAGTAAAGTCATGTTTTACTAATGAAGTCTCGCTAAACTGGCCAGTAAGTTAAAAAGCAAACCAATGAAGTTCAGATTACTATTCCGACAGCATTCTGGTTAGTGAGGACATGAAAGAGGTTACAAAGCAAAATTAACTTACAGCTAGGTGAGTGGACGTTAGAATCTCAAGATAGGACATCAGAATACTGCTAGACATACAGGCTTCTAAGATAGCTATTGCTTTTTGCATAACGCCAAAACGCAGGGTAGGTTAACGAATCTGCCAGTTTTGAGCCGTCTCCGCCGGCATCTGATCCTTTTGCAACGTTGTTGAATGTCGTCGCAGGACCAGTAGTCCGCGGAGGCGACCCAAAACTGGCGGAGTTCGTTCCCCCACCCCAAAACGCACACGGCGTGTGTATGTGTGTGCACCCCAGCCATCAAGCACCTTCATATCACAGCTGCAATATACTGAGATCGTTAAGTGCGTTCCCTACAGCGGTAAGCAGCTTCTGTTAAGGTTTGACACTGCATACCTACACGATACAGAGCTGGAACCTATGCACCAACATGAACTGTGAGTAGGCAGATATTATGCAACCATTTCCAATATAAAGGAGCATTGGCCGCTGGATGGTTACTAGCGCATGCGAGCTATACAGTTTGGAGCTGAGATCAGATAGGTGTCTATGAAGTGAAACAGGTAGACGCGCTGGATTAGCATAATACGATAGCAGGAGTAGCAGAACATGAACATCGCAAATTTTTTCCCCAACCACCTCACACCTCCATGTCCGCTCTCTACTTCAAGTGGGACAAAAATCATTTCTTGGTTTTAAACAAAGTAACGTTTTTAGTCTATACGTCTAAAATCAAGAAAATTCAAACAATCTGCAACGCTTGAGCGAGAACAACAAAGAGAAAAAAAAGTTGGAACTGAGATTCACAATCTTTTCTGAACTTTCAATAAAACAGTTTCCGCATATCTTTACAAGAGCGTTTTGTCAATGACTTTGACGTGACTTGTAGATATTCAAGTGAACACAGACTTCGAGATCTGGAATCGTAGGAGACATTCGCCTTTCTCTCGATGAGAGACCGTTTAACAGCTCTCTGAGTCCAACTCTATCGACGCAAAGCTAGAATACAAATACTGAGGTGTGATGACTGTAAAGGTGATACAGAGAATGCTTGAAAGAAGCATCAAAAATAATTTTGAACCATTTAAAAAGTCTCAACGTCATGATGATGAGCTTCGAGATTACGAATAGTCAATGATACATTAGCAGGCCGAGTGGGAAGAGGAAAAGTGAAAGCTGGAAAAACAAGAAGCTGGATAGCACTATAGATATAGATAGCAGTATGATTTAAGCTACGCATTGTAGACCGACACATGACATTTTTATCAAGCAAAAGTGTAAAAACACAGTGATTGCGAGATGGCTAACAAAATCAATTGGAAGACATAACTTTCAAAGCACACGTTATTAATGACCTCATTTCATGACCTAAAAAGCTGCAGCAAACTAATGGCTATTATGACGGCGAGGTTGCCTTCCAATTATTAGACCTCGCCGATTTTTCTTGCACGCGAGCCGCAAATCATCTGTATTCCGGACATTCGGATGTCTGACTTCAAATTTGATGCGAACTGTGATCATGCCTCGTTCGTAACTCTTTCTACATCTTTCGAACATTTTAAAAGCACCACCATGTTTTAGGCGTTGCGGGCGTGCTTTCCCTGACATGCAACATTTTTTCAACTCCTTATCATGGGAGTGTCCCGCGCCGCAGCTCTAAATTTCTTTATAGGCGCCTCGGAAGCTTCGTGGAGCCAGTCGTAGTTTTTCCTTCTGAAGATAACATGGGAAGACCGATAAAGCAACAAGGCTCGAGCGTAGCCTATTCAACAGATTGATATCGTCACTGCCTCAAATTGTACTGACCAAAACATGACCGACGCATGTTGGAAACAAAGCTACCGATCAGTCATTTAGTATTACACAGCTATCGGAGTCACTTTTGAAACTCCAACACGGAAAAGCCGAAAAATTTTGGCGCCTTATCACCTTCCAGACGGAGCTTCCGTGAATGTAATTCAGTTTCTTTACCTCCGCGGTTTCAATAACACCTGCACTAAAAACGACCAAGGGAACCCAACTTAAGATGTACACTCTAACTCCTATTTTTGCGAGCAAGTATACACAAGGGTGTTACGCTGAAAGTAAACTACTAGTACTAGCCGTTGCTAAAGAAATTCGCAATAGAAGAAGTCATGTTGAACTTTATACTTTTACCAGAAAAGACGACTAACTGTGAAACCCGATAAGATCAATCACTCCACACTTTATCAACCGCAGTAGTAATGGTGAGAAAAAACTATGGCTAAAGGAAATGGTGCTTCGATTTTGTCAAAAAGATATTAGTCTGTTCGTCATCACGATGACAGAAGATTTAGAGAGATACAAGCCCAAATGCTGAAAGGAATCCACTTCCACATCCAAGACTTTTTCAAACAAAAAACTCTTGGTCCTAACCCCATATTTAATCTGCGCAGCATAACAGCCACATCCGCAGTACCCATCCGCACAGAGTGAGACAACAAATGCCAAAAAATGGTGAAAACGATCCTCTGGAAACAGCAACCCCTTTTTCTCTCAAACGGATACCAAAATTATACTAGTCATCCTTGAGAATTCCACGGCTAAAAGAGAGCATGTGCGCTAGTTACGATAGGATCTCTACAGAACAAAGTCCTAGATTTTGATTCAAGTATAATGAGTCAGCAGCCTCAATGCAATAAAGTCAATGACTCAGCGACGGTGCCCATGACGATGCACCTCGATCGCAATCACGCTCGTAGACGAAACAAAAGCAATATTATCAATATCGCATCTACTCGGCATGTGATTTACAATAATGACCGACACGATAAAGCAGATCGGGCATGAGCATTGAAAAAACAGCAGCTGCTTGAAGACCAACGAAATGTTCCAGTGGTTCAAGAGAGTGCTCCAAATACGACTGCTACTATACCGATCTAGGAATTGAATTTGAAACGATGACACTACAAAATGCAAAGTGATTACCAGTAAAATCCATAGGCATGGAAAGAATAAATACAGGCAATCGAGGTTAGCACTACTTCAAATATTATCACACACAAAAATCAAGTAGGAATGCTTGTCAGTCACCAGTGTCCATGAAAGGGACAAAGCAGAGGAGAAATAAACTTGAATTAGTGTGCATCCTGTACTATTCAAAATTTGAACGAAGTTAAAAAGATGTTGAAGTACTCCAGTTACACATTTTACAGAGATGTTTGCACAACGTCGTTTTCCTAAGTTTATTCAAGAAGAGGGCTGCTTTGTCAGTTCACGAATCTCCGTCCCATGGTACAATCACCGTCTGAGTATATTTGCAAAACGCGAAAAAAAAATTTGCATTCTTTCAATTCCTGGGCAAGATTTTGTCTAGAAAATTCTGAAATGGAGTCAAGACAACTTTTTTGAGTCGGTAATTAGCACTGGAAGCAAAAGTGAGTAAACGATAAAGAATCAACCACACACACTTGTGAAATGAAACTGCAGCTGACAAAGGAAGCTACCTAATTTAGCTCGTCAAGGGACATATAATATATTCTGATTCTGAATCAGCTTCAAATGCTGATTCCAAATATGCTATTTCTAGCTGTCGTACGCCATTCCGAAGCGAGTTATGGGCTTTTTCCTGCGCAAAATTGTCGTACTCATCGACTCATTGGCATGACAGCATCATCATCTAAGTGCTAAGCAGAGCTTAAGCTTCTTTTTGGTGAGAAAAGATTGAATCTGTGTTATTTCGATACCTAAGCACTATATTCTTGCAAATTTTTATCTGCAAGCAGCCTTCCCATGTCCAGCAGTACGCCAATTTTGCGCGCGCTTCGGAATGGTGCGCGGCATCTAGGAATAGCATATTTGGAATCAGCGTTTGAAGCTGATTCAGAATATATATATGTCCTTTGCCAAAAGGCCGAGCTAAATTGGGTAGCTTTCCTCATAAACTGACACTATCGCTTCAGTGCTACATCTCATCTATTCCAAGGAAAGAATGTGACAGAAAATGAAAGAATAGTTGAATCGTTTTACGAATTGGAAAATGATGATTACTGAGAGTAGAGAGAAAATGCTTAAGCATGGAAGTGCAGCCAGGAAACAGAAGACTAGTTCACAAGAAAGCAAACAGAGATCGAGGAGAATATTTTAAGCCGCATAATCAACATCCTTGTCAAAGTGTAAGAGCACTCATCAGCGTGATTAGTACGGACAAATTGCCCACTATCACTGAAGAAACTCGTAGGCCATCACTAAGCAACTGAGTCATGCGCAAATGCGTGGGCATCGCTAACTTCGAGGTGAGTAAAGTAGTGATTACTTAAACATTTCTGTGATTGTACAGAATTCAAGCGGGAAGTGAAGGGCAGGCGTGGCATGTGTTGCTTCCTTCTATATACTATTTTATGATCTATGTTATTCATCTACGCACATCTACGCGATGCACAAGTTGTCGCTGCGTGTGACACCTGCAAGTTGCATAAAAAGAGTGAATAGTAGAATACATAGTGCTAAGCGATTTGTTGTTGGAATCCAGAAACTGAGCTATATTAGATAAAATGTGATTGTTAGAACAACAAGCATCTGGTCCTCAAAGAAGAAGATGCATAGAATCGATAGAGGCTTACAGTTGAACAAAAACTAAAAACCAGATGAGAATTGTTTTTGACAAGGAAAATTGACTGAAAAGTCACACAAAAAAAACTTCAAACATGATGAAACACACCTGCATGAACAGTGCATTTTCACTTGGTTTGAAACTTGTTTGTCTGCAAATCAGCTTGGCGCAACTTGCTGTTCTTTACCAAGCAGCTAACCAAAGTTGGATCAAAACTCTACACCAATGAAATCAACTGATCTTAGCTTAACAGTAAAGATGAGCAGGAATGCCTGATTCGGATACAAGCCAACTGCAGCAAACTTGCTGTGTTGACAAGCATCCGAAACTGCCATGCGGTTTCATGATACACCATTCAGAAAAAATTCCAGAGAACAATAGACAAGTAGAAGTAATTCCTCGTTTTGAGAAAAAGACGGGGATGTAATAGAGAAGCTTCCAGAACAAAACGATATTCATAGCCATAAGCAAGCAGTAAAGGCACATTTTCAAGGCAAAAAAGGAAAGTCAAATGCTTGCAAAAAGCAGTGAGGACATCTAGAACTAGACTTAACTATCTACTTAATAGAAGAAAAGAATCAATCAGTAAAAAAAATCAAAAAGCCCATTCAAAAAGGTCACCTGTCGAACGATCACTATACAAGCACAGCGTGCTCTGCAGAAAAATTACAAGATGAAGCTGCCAGCTCAAGCTGACAAAAAAGACATAGAATTTACAGGAGATGAATTCAGAAAGGATCGACAAGTAGGAATGAATGTGCAGAGCTGCACATACGCTTGAAGGATGCCAAGACTAATTGAAGTACATTCAAGTATGTTCATTCGGCTTATTAAGCAGAGCCAAATCGAACATATATGCATGAGTAAGGGATAATGACAATGAAACTATTTTCACATGCTTCTGCGATCGACTGAAAAAACTAGAAGAACAGGAATGATAGATGGTACTAGGCAATCCAAGAAATTTTTGCATTATAGCGGATCGCCGATTCAGCTGGAGAAGGGTCACTTACTACCACTTGCAAAAAAGATAACTGTTAGGTAGTGATGTTAAAGATCACATAAGGAAGCGGAGAGCGCAGCGAATCTCTCAAGTCGGTTAGCAATTTACAAGGAACTGCGTCATAAAGCACATAATGTGACAGAAGTACGAAAGAGAAATCGAGAAACGATGACGACGATCGAGATGATTCAGAGGGAGCAATAGCAAAAGCAGCAGTACGGGGGAGAGGGAGAGGGCAGCAGCAATTATCATCACGTACCTTTCGTTTATTGATGACATTGTTGGTGATCAGCTGTTTGTTCTGGAGAATACTGGCATGATTCGTTGCTTCTTCGAGCTCCAAGTCGTCGTCGTCACGTACAACCATGCTGTGCACGAGTGGTGCACGATTCTGTACGAATTCACGATGACGCGATGTACGGGCTACACACACACAGACACACACGTAGCGGGGAAACAGCCGGGAGGGGCCTGGATGATCGCGCACCTCTCGAAACTTGCGCCCCCGTTCGACACTTCACCTCTGCGTCCCTGCCCGCCGTGCTCTGCGCCCTCTTCGTAGTGCGCGGTCTCTCCGCCGCCACCCTCGCCTTCGCATCGATCGGATAATCGCGGTTGCTCGTAATCACTCTGGCCCTAATTTTTACGCGATTTCTCGGGACCAAGATGTGGCGGGGTCGTCTTTGTAGTCCTCCCTTCTTCCCGTCACATACTGATTGTTCCATGCCATAAGCGACACATGCCATTCACCGAGGTACAGGATCAAGCTGTAGCCCGGTGTTTTCCCTCAGTCTGATGTTTGAGGGGATCGGCGAGTGCGTCCTTGCCGCTCACCTGCTGGATGCTAGTCGGTGCTGATTCAGAACTCAGTGCTTGTTTCCGTCAATTCGCAACTTCTGACGAATGTGCCGGGGTTGAGAATGATAATGCAGAGTCGTGGCACGAATCCCTGACTGGCGTCTGACCTGGGAGCAAGGTTTCCGCCAGTCGTGTTCCTTTTTGCGCAGTCACAAGAGCATGTCGATTCAGTGACCCTATGAGTCGCTTAGAGATGACATTTGTTTCTTGTGGCCCGGTCACAGGCAAGGGCGGCCTTTATTTCAATGCGATATCAAACCCTCAGGTCTTGTTAAGATGTTTTGGTATACACCAAGCTGGTACCACTACGTTAATAACTGTTTATTCGTTAGTAGCGGAGCAGCCGCTGACTATCAACAGTAAATGTGCGGAACAGCCGCTGACGATAGTGGTAATAATCGAACCAACACCAGAACTGAGTATTCAGGCCCTTTTATGCCACTATTTTGGGCGTGGATAACCTGAATGCTCACTTCTGGTAAACAATAGTATCATACAGCATGAAGGATTGCCTACATGAAAGTAGGCGCCGCCAAGTAGACTATCAAGCACAGCGGAGGGTGACCTGGCGGCTTAAGTGGTCAGTGAACAGTAACGTTTGTCAACGACAAGCTAACAGATATACTAAATATAACATACACGGTAGATCTTCAATGCTAAAGGTTGTAGATTATTTGGATAATCTACGACAGTGGGGCGCGCGACGAAAGGCGCGTAAGCAAGAAAATATAAATCACAAAAGTTACACGTAGGTCACAAAAGTTCATCACAACATTAGCTAAGTCACATATATCACATGATTTCTGTAACGGGTTCGTTGTCTCCGTCTGGGATTCATAAGATGGTCGGCCATCATGTCGTGGTCGGCCTTCGGGGCCAGGCGCGACGCTGAAGCGAGACATCCCGGTTGAGCATCAAAAATCATCTTCACGAATTGTCCTTGAGTCCTTGGTTTTCGGCGTTTGCGATCGAATTGTTGTCCACGAGATGCGCTGTAACGTTGGCAGCTTTCGTGTTTCCTAGATGGCTTCTCAGGTTGTGCGAGCATATTCGTCGGATACGGACGACTGAGCTTCTTTGCTCGGCGTTTGGAAGTTTCGCGCTCAGCTTGTTCGACGCTTCTAGCTGGCTTCTGCTTCACTGAGTTTCCTTTACTCACTGGATGATTGTAGGAGACCATGGTGAGTGCGGTGTTCTGCGAATGCTCCTCCATCTTGATTCCATATATCGGACTGCTTCCGGAGATTGCATGACCGAAAACAGTAGGGGTGAGAATAAGTCCTGACGGAAGAATTGTACATGGTCGCTCCCTCAAGATGAATTGATCGATCAGATCTTGACCAATGAGAATGTCCGGTGTGATCCGTCGAGTCTTCAGATCCGGTTGTGCTACTCGAATCTTTCTTTTCTGAATCAACCTTCTATCCTCTGCGCTTAGCCAAGCTGTGCTCATCGCGGAAGTGAGTGTTGACTTTGTGTGTAATCTCACGGCTTTGATGGCGACTCCAGCAGACGTTGTTCTCAGTGTAAGCGGGACTTCACTGGATGTGAAATGTGCGGTAGATCCTCCGAAGCCGCCAATCTTGAAAGTGGTGTTTTGCAGCACTGGTAAGCCAAGAGCTTGGGTCTTCTTTATATTGATGAAGCTCTTTTGTGCACCTCCATCAAAGAAAACAGTCACGGGCTTATAGCTGGTCGATGTGTAGTCGTATGCGAGTGCAGTCGCCGTCATCAGTACGTGCTGCATTCCTCCTTCTCGCTTCGTGCTCTCGTTGTGAAGAATTTCAGAATTTTGCGCAAATTCAGGGTTTCTCGGGAGATCTTGATCGCGAGCAGATCGTTGCTGCGATCGCCTGGTTGGGGTGCCTCTAGATGCTGAATAGCTACCCATGCATACGGCAGTGTGGTGGTTTTCGTGGCACTTGTAGCAGAACTGTGAGCTAGTGCAATCACTAATCCTGTGATCGGTTTGAAGACATCTGAAGCACAGCCTTTGTTTCCTGGCTTCATCACGTCGCTCTGCTGCTGTTTGGAATGTTGTGCATCTCGTCGCATCATGTTGGTAACTTCCGCAGATGCATTGAGCACTCGAATCTCTCGAAGATGTGTTTCCTTGACCGTAGTTCGAATTGTGTGCGATTGAGTCTTCTTCATAGTTCAGCCTTTCATCAACTTCTTGATCGGAATCAGAGCGTGCCATAATTTTGCAGTCCTCGAATGCTTGAAATGTGTCCATTGAAAGGGCGATTGTTTCCTTGAGAGCTACCGCACTTTCCAGGATCTCTAGTATCTCCTCGGTAGAAAACGGTTTGTCTTCGTTTTGCTCTTTGCTGAACACCTTTTCGCTCAGTGATGTTGGGAATTTCGAGAGTATCAATCGTCTCCACATTCGCCCGTTGTCCAAAGTGACTCCCGCACACTCAATGTGAGTGAGCTTCTCAGTCACATCGGTTAACATTTTTCGGCAGCTATTTGCGTCTTCCTTTGCTCGCGGAAGTTTTTCGAACTCTGTGATGAGAAGATCAGCTATGCATCCGGACTTGTTGTATCTTTTGTCGAGAAGTTTTACAGCTTTGTCGTAATTTGTTCCTATTACTGGAATGTTGCCAAGCATGGAAGCAGCTGATCCTTTCAGTGCTTGCCTCAAAAATAGGAACTTATCCGTGTTGCTAAGCTGTGAGTTGCTATGAATAAGCGAGTCGAAAATCGTCCAAAACCTTGGATAGTCTTTGTAGTTTCCATTGAACGTTGGAACTTCAAGCACTGGTAATCGGACTTTGTTCTCAGCGTGTTGTCTTGTTGATAGATAACTATTTGTGTCCGTGTCCGGTACTGATGTTGGCGTCGAGGACGATGCTAATGCGTGAATCAGGCTTGACTGTTTTTCCAGTTCCCTCGTCCGGTATTTCAACTTATTTAACCAGTTGATAGCTTCCATCTGCACTCTATTTGCCTCAGTAGAAAGAAATGCATCAAGATCGGTCATAAGCCTTTCTCGTTCTGATTGGTCCTTCCTTAGTCCGAGAAAATTCATAGCGTTTTGGATTTGTGCTTCCAGGTACTCCGAAAAGCCTTTTAGAGAGATTTCTGCTTCTTCAATTTCTGCTGTTTTATCCACGATGAAGGCATTGCATTCCGATGCCGTTGTTGGAAAGTTGAAGGCTTGATCTATCTCCCTGATTTTGTCCTGGAGGCTGCTAACTGAAGAGCAAGCTAATGAGATGCGTGTCTTGAATCCTGCAAGCTCAGTCATTGTTTGTCTGGTGCGCATGGACTTCTATCGCTTACGGCTCTCGTTGGCTGCGTGCTTTGGCACTGCAGATATTTGTTTGTAGAAGAGTTCTGGCTGGGTACTTAGTACTCGCAGCTGTGGAGAACTGTGGAGGTTGGCTGGGCCTGAACCTCTGTAGAATTTTTTCTTGCTGGATGCAAGAAAATTAATCACTAGTGAGCTTAGCAGTGGAGTGCGTAGCTTCTTCTAGTTACTTAGCAAGCGTGCCGTTGGCTTGAACGCTGTGCTGACTGGTAGGTTTGGACCTTGCCCAGTATAGGATTGAGAAATCCTTGAAGTTTAACAGTTCTTGAATGAACTATGATACTTCTGACCGCAAAAACTGCTCCGCTCTCTGGTTCCTTACGAAAAGGACGCGCAAGAGAGTTTCACTAGAATTTGGGTGTTTTCACAAAAAATTTCTTCCCACTTCCTGGTTCCTTACGAAAAGGACGCGCTAGGAAAGTTTTCAGAAAATTCTGTGGTTAGCTACTGTTGACTGACGCCTTTACGGCCCTCTGGTCTCTTACGAAAAGAGCGCGCAAAGAGGGTTTTCAATTTGTCAAGTAGCTAAAGTACCGACTGTTTTCTTTACTACCCACTGGTCTCTTACGAAAAGAGCGCGCAAGTGGGGTTCAATATACAGTGGTTAATACCGGCTGTTTTCTTTACTATCCACTGGTCTCTTACGAAAAGAGCGCGCAAGTGGGGTTCAATATTCAGTGGTAAATACCGGCTGTTTTCTTTACTACCCACTGGTCTCTTACGAAAAGAGCGCGCAAGTGGGGTTCAATATACAGTGGTTAATACCGGCTGTTTTCTTTACTATCCACTGGTCTCTTACGAAAAGAGCGCGCAAGTGGGGTTCAATATTCAGTGGTAAATACCGGCTGTTTTCTTTACTACCCACTGGTCTCTTACGAAAAGAGCGCGCAAGTGGGGTTCAATATTCAGTGGTAAATGATCACCAACTAACGTCTTTACTAGCCTCTGGTCTCTGACGAACAGAGCGCGCAAGAGGTTTTCGATTGATTAGTGGTATATGATCCTGCCACGCGGGACTTTATCAGCTTCCTGGGTAGCAAACGCCAGAAAGTGATCCGTAGGCCGATGCACCAATTTGGTATACACCAAGCTGGTACCACTACGTTAATAACTGTTTATTCGTTAGTAGCGGAGCAGCCGCTGACTATCAACAGTAAATGTGCGGAACAGCCGCTGACGATAGTGGTAATAATCGAACCAACACCAGAACTGAGTATTCAGGCCCTTTTATGCCACTATTTTGGGCGTGGATAACCTGAATGCTCACTTCTGGTAAACAATAGTATCATACAGCATGAAGGATTGCCTACATGAAAGTAGGCGCCGCCAAGTAGACTATCAAGCACAGCGGAGGGTGACCTGGCGGCTTAAGTGGTCAGTGAACAGTAACGTTTGTCAACGACAAGCTAACAGATATACTAAATATAACATACACGGTAGATCTTCAATGCTAAAGGTTGTAGATTATTTGGATAATCTACGACAGATGTTGTATTCGAGAGTTCTGATCGGCTGAGCACTGTAGTGATACACATCTGGCAGTAGTGTCTTTTCGTGGCGTTACGACAGGTG